CCACCCCCCCTGCAGGAATTCAGAGGAAATACCGGCTGATAAGTAAAACACCTGACACCTGTGCAACCGTCCTGCAGCATTCCTGACACCTCAGCCTCAATCACTGGTTCCCAACACAAGACAAACCCTCCTGAGGCGTCGTTCTCTTCACTCTTGTTCCTACGTCTCTTTTGGTTTTTCAAGGGTTATTTTTTTAACCTTAGTTTCACGTCGCAGAACTCCCTGAAAATGGAGAAATCCCTCTTTGACCTCCTCTTGTCGCACTTAGTTCGGAGCATCTGCAGGTTTTTCCTTCCAATCAAACACTGCAGCAGGATGTTTCACACTGATTTGCATATGCAACTCCAGCCGGTGAGGAGCAGCTAATGAGTGGAAGCTGCAGCTGGTTGACATGAAAACCTGCAGTTTTCTGGTTCACGTGCTGCAAAATTATATAAAAACATTTTGTTTTCCCGTCAGAGAAATAGTTTTTATTTCTAAAGCATCATTTTTTTTTTTTTTTTTACACGTTCTGCTTGAAAAGTAACGAAACCTTCAGACACTCAGCTCATGGAGATGTCGTCCATCGGGGACAAATGTGGCACGGCAGACGAAGCACACAGCTGTGAACTTGCTTTTATTATATGGCACAACTCGCCCCTGACTCCAGAGGCTTCTCATCTGTCCCAGAGTCACGCACAGCTGGCCGTGAGTCTCAAGTCCCAGGAACAAATCACGCAGAGACAGATTGGGAGATTTTCTTTTGCTTCATTTCCTGTTCTTGTTCTCGTGGCCTTTTCTCCAACTCGTGGATTTAAAGTGTGCGACAACACGTTGACTTGTCACTTAGGGAACATGTTGAAATGAACATGGTGCACAGGTGGCGTGAGCAGTGAGGTGTTAATGACCTAAGCAGGTGGTAGAAACAGCTTTAATGAAACAAATAGCCTCTTTCAGAAACAACCTTCAAACGTGGCCTATGTACAATTTAAAAAAAACAAACACTATGATGGAGGTTGACGTTGTTTCTCTTCAGCTTTGAAGGCGATGATGACTCGATGGAGGCACCTCTCCTCGTCCAGTCTTTAAATATGATGCTTTTCCCAGTGTCACAGATTCTAGCATCTCACTGAAGAGATGTGCACTGATCACATATGTAGTCCATGTGTGTCGTCCTCTAACGTGTCTAATTATACTTAATAATATTACATAATAAATAGTGTTGGTCCTCTGGTGCGTCGGAAGGGGACGCAGGGTTCGGGGGCAGCGGTGTTGGACCGAGGTGTTTAGTCCTCCGAGGTCACGTCGATGTCCTCGGAGCTGGCCTGCTTGGTGGCGATGCGCCATCTGTTGATGTGGTGGTTTCCCTTCTTCTTCTGCTGGCTGTCTGGTCCCTCCTCCTCCAGCTTCTGTCGCTTGTACTTGGTCCGTCTGTTCTGGAACCACACCTTCACCTGGACGGAGGAATAATGTCGCACGCTGTCAATTCATGTGTCATTTCAGAGATGCAACTCAAAAATCATACGACGAGGTGGACATGTTGGCTTCTCACACGGGTGTAACGTAACGTAGGTGTTTTCGGTTCGAGGGCCTCGGACCCCCTCCAAAGAAGGTTGTGTTTACACCCCTGTCAGTTTGTTTGTTGGTTTGTTTGTACTTAAGCAGGTTTACACAAAAACCGCTTGATGGATTTCCCCAAAATCCGACGGAGCGATATCGTACGGGTCAGGGAAGATTGTGGTGGAAATCCGGATCAGGTGGATCCAGGAGAGTTTTCCCAGTGAATGATATTCATGGGTCTTAATGGAAGAAAAATCCAGCATATTTAGGAAGTGACATCTGAGTGTGTGCAGCTTGATTTAATAAATTAGAATCTAGTTTTTAATGTCTGGACTTTAGAATGTAAAGGGCCTTGAGATGACGTACGTTGTGATTTGGTGCCGTGCATATAAAGTTTAAATTGAATTAATTAAAACTGACAATTATCTTCAGGATCTGACGATGAACTCGTTTCATTTCTTTGACTTAATGTTAGAAAATTGCAAAAAAGCACAAAACTAAAAAGTGTCGTCTCCAAATGATCGATATTCTAAACAATGTTATAAAACAGAGAAAAGCAGCAGATCACCGTCGTGTTTAAGGGTCAGGGTTCGAACCCGGAACATGAAAAAACAACTTTAACAATTATTCTTTTATCAAAATAGTTTCCAATTAAATTTCTGTCATTCACCTAATCAATGAATCACATTATTCTTTCAACTCTATCTGTGATTTTACTTCTCGGACAAGTTGAACAATGTGTCCGTATGGCAGCCTCTAAAAAATGTTTATATATTTATCTTTTGCTCGAGAACTCTGACCTGCTATCTTTTATTTTCAACACTCACCGATCCTTCACTTCATTTATGCTTTTTATCACGTTCTCCTTCTTCGTCTACGCAGGATGTGAAATGCAAAATGTTCATAAACTGCTAATTAAATCTGGAGCGTTGACCTCTCATGGCATTCATGAGTGAAAATTGCGTTACGGTAAAAGGTCAACGAGCTGAGCAGCTTCCTGACTGGCTCGTGTTGCCGCTGTGACCTTGGAACATGAGCCTGGCTGAGTAACTTATATTTGTCAGGATGCATTTTTTTTTTAAATAGCAACAAGCTCTGGGCGTCATCACATCAGCTTCTTCCACGCTGGTGCCTTTCTCTCTCTCGGGCCTCAGGGAAATTTCACACGGCCACAAACATGTTTTTACTCTTTAAGAGCCCGGATGTACAGACGTCAGGAGCTGGTGGTACTGTGTGTTCTTTTGTGGAAAATAAATTAATAGTTACTTTCCCAAGTGCCCGAGGGCTCATTTCCAATCCCAAGCAGAGGTGGAGCAGAGTTTGATCCCCGTTTAAGTGGAAATTACCATCCTCTGTGTTTACGTGCTGCATTTTTCTTGGATTTCTATACATTTGTTGTGACGTTTTCACCGTTTCTTTACCAGCTGATTGTAAGTTTCGGGTGACAGCGAACATTTCTGAACAGACTAGATCACATCCACTGGGTCAAATGACATCTGGAGATAATTCAATCAGAATTTGTGAGATCTGTAATTTTCATACATTTAAGATCTTATAATCCTGTTGGCTTGTGTCTGTGTCGTCTAATTTTCTCATGGTTGTCGCAGTTTATACTTTGTGTGAGTTAATATTCAGTTCACTTCATAATGCAGCTTGTGCGTCATTGACTGAACTGGCAAACTGCATTTCTCCGAACTGCTGACTCGGGGAAACCTCTCGTTTTATTGCCCATTAGGCCTAATTGACGCCCAGATAATGTTGCCTCGTTAAACTTGAGCATCAATAATATTTACA